CCAGTGAGTCTGTGTGTGTGTGTGTCTGTATGAGTCTCTTCCATTAGAATTAGCCTTGCAATTATTCCTGGAGTTTCTTACACAAGGCAAAACCCAACTTTGAGTCATTTACCACAACCAAAAAAAAAAGGTCAGCGATTAACTTCTTAGTCTTAAGATACTGTGAGAGTGAATTTGGTCGCATTGCTTGTCATTGTAAACCGCCACATCACTCACACACACTCTGGGCTTGCTCCATTTAGCAGAATTCAGATGAGTCATACTATCCTCTCTTTGATGAGTCAGTTAGTAGCTGTTGCTAGTTCACAGGCTTTCCCCTCATCTATACATGGCTTCCATAATAAGACTAGCTCAGGACATTAGCAGCTGGCTTGACAGGAGAGGTAGGAACAGAGCATTAGAAATGGGAAGGTAGACAGAAAAAAAAGCAAGGAGAGGGAGGGAATCAGAAAGGAAAGAGGGTGCATCCCAGGGTGTACACGGAGAAGGAAACTCACTCCCAGTGGCCCAGAGGGAGGAGAACATTTCCATTCCCTCTTGTTATGCAACGAATTTTTGATTTGCGTCCGGCTCGAAAGTCACACTGGAGGGAACATTAGGAAAGGATTTATGTTTTAAAGAGTCCAGTTTTCCTGGAAACGCAAGTTGAGGTTTCAGATCAGAAAGGCTAATTTTACCATCACTGCTTTGAGAACAAAATTTACGTGCTACTAACACCAGTGATTGGGAGTCCAATGGAGTGGACGCTATTGAAGGATACTGCACCCAGATGCAGTGACTGACGCTGGACAGCTGGACCACTGCCTGTAATGGCTGGATTAAAACTGTCCCAAATCGCGAGATAGGGAAAGACGGAATGAGGCTCCCACATGGGGAAAGACACAGACAGACAGACAAAAAAAGAGGGCGGAGATAAAGGCAGAGAGAACACACACACTAATCTGATGTCTGTATTATAATGGCCAGATGTTGGCCTACTAGACCTGATTCAGTTGCACCAATTTCTCCCACAGCTCATTGCAGTTGGGTAAAAGAGGGGATCTTATTTTGAGAAACAGTGTGACGCACAAGTTGATGCAACTAAGTGTAACAACATTTAGTTGCATCTTGAAAAGAACACTGCCATGCAGATGCTACAGCAGATGCATATTTAAATTTAATATGTTGCTCTGCAGTGGTTCAGTGGCCCTGCGTAGTCGGGTCAGGGCCTTTTAAAATGTGTCAACACATTGTGCCCATATGCCAACCTTTCCACTGTAAACGTTCATTGTTATCGGTTGAAACTTGTAAATGCCAGTCTAGTTGTTCCCCAAACAATCTCATACTTAGTTTAGCTTTGTAGAAACTAAAATTTAATTTTGGTTTACTAAACTGCCGCCACTGAGAAATGCACCCAAGTATTAAAATGACTGCGGAGAACCCACTTTCTATTACCTACATGTGAGAATAATTTCACATTTGATGACAAAATGCTATTAGCAGGGAATTGCTCTGATAAATAAAAACATAGCTGTCATTGTTTCTGATAATCTGCCAAACTTCGCACATGGCCTATATATCAACTATGCGTGCGAGTCTTGAAGCACTGGTGGAAAGAAATTGTTTAAAATGCACCCAGATCCAAAAACCAGGACCCAGAACTGCAGCACATTTGCTATCAGGAAATTCTGCGGCCGGCAACAAATGTGTAGTTTAACTGATGCAATCCATTAGTCTCTCTGATGTGGTCTTTACTTATTGTGTCAAAATCAGGGGCAATTGCTTCCAGGCTCATTTGCATGGGTTTGTTGGGTTTGTTATCAGGCGCAGCAGGCTTTCATACGAGTTCATGGCAGACCTGGAAGCAGGTTTTTTCTTCAGACTTTCTCCAGGATGAGTTGTTGTGCGTTTGGCAGAGGACACTCGAGTATTTACACAAGGGAACCAATGATGGATCCCACACATGCTTCCTCTGCAGTATTAGTTGTGGGAGCTACAGACCGGGGACAATATGTCATTTCTGTTTTGCTACAACTCCACGCACCTGCATTTTTCATGAACCAACAGGAGGTTAGCAGAGGCTGTTTAAGGTTGTTGACAGCAGAAGTGGAAAGTGTGATCCTGAAATATCACAGCTTGATGTTGTGTCTTTGACAGTGACAATGGCCAAAATACTGTACATGAGATGAGGGGTATCCAGTTCATCACCATAGTTACATGTCTGCTTTTTCTATTCTACCTCTGTCATCCCATAAAATGCAATATTGGAAAAGAACACAAGGAACAGACATATATTATGTATTCCATTTTATACTCCACGCAACAGATATGGGAATAATAGCTTTTTCTGGCTAACATTTTTTCATACATTTCTAAGACAAGTCAGCTGAAGTTTCTTCTTCCACTAACAGTGTAAGCTGAGTGTGCACTGTGTAGTCTCTAGACACAGTGGAAGACCCCATTATGGATGTGAAGACACATGGAGGTGGTTTACTCCTCCGTTTGGCCCAGATCTGTCGCTCCCACTCCAGAGTCTCCACTGAGTCTCATTCTCCTCCTCAGGAAAGGCTTTCATAACAATAATCCCCGTCTCCCGTTGCCACAGAAACACACTATGTTATGTTATTCTCTATTTTTCTTTATTTCCTGCCCTGTAGCACAGCTCCCTGCCTCCCTACATCAGCTCTCTGCTTGAGTTACAGGCACTGTGTCCAGGCTGAGTGACTCCTAGAGGTCTGGTTGTACACATTTTTGGATGACTGGTCAATCTGTGTCAGCATGTCGGCTGAAAAATCAATAAAACAGATGTGGAGGACCAATGGTTTGGCCAGATGACCATCACTAGGTTGAATCAGTTTGTTCAAAGGCCATCCAGTCAAATCTGACATGAATTAAATGGTCACAGGTTGAGTTATCATCTATGTGGAACAGAATTTTTTCCTTTTCAAACTTTCTAGCAAGAGATTCTACATTTGAAGTATTGCATTCAGTGCTGGGAATCTGCAATTAGAGAAACCAGAACCTAACATAGCCATTACCACGAAGACAAAACAACTAATGTTGTGAATGACACCAACAACCATCATAAGAATAATCTATTTACAACATGTGGACGAGCCCAGAAATTCCCAAATCCACTTTTCACATGGATCTAAAAGCTGCTAGTCCAGCAGTTTTGAGATCAAAATGAATGTGTCTGCCCTGCTTCTTCTTCGACTCATGCATCTGTGGTACTTTCATCTTAAACTCTGATATTTTACCAAAAGTAAGCTGTAGGTCATTGGGTCCTTTCAACTATACAGAGTGTTGTGATTTGGCTAAGTGCTCCCATATGATGGGCATGTTTTCAGTTGATACAAGCAATACGGGTCTCTGATTATTTAACAAAGTTTCCTTAATGTCAAAACCTGATTTTTGCAAGCATTTCTTCATACTATGTAAGGCATCAAGTATGTCAAATAGTTCTGAAAGATCAACAGGTTGCTAAGTTTTACTTATTATACAGCTGTAGGGGCACTGGGTCATTCCACTCTGGGTACTGATTGAGGCAATCACTGTCTTGATTGCAATTAACTTTCAATTTTCTTCAATCAAGCCAATAAGTATGCTGCAGCTACTATGGTTTAATGGCTTGTGCATTACCAGTGATTATGAAGGAGCCTAAACAGCAAATTTAGGGTCAAATCCAGTCAGTTAGCTGGAAGAAACAGGGAATAATCACTATTGGGAAAACATCTGTCCTGATAACAGTGAATTATTTCCTTTCCTACATGGAATTTCACTTAATCTCCTGAACTGAATTTGACAGTGGAGTGATATATCCTGCAGGCAGTTCGGTTTAGCATTCCCCAAAACTCAGAAGTGCCAGAAGCAGTCCTGTAGCCATGACGCTCAACACGCTGTTTGGCGAGAGACAGAGAGAAGCAGGAAATCTGAGTTCGAGGCAGAATGACAGAAGCTAATATGGAGACAGAAAGGGCCGAGACTGACCAAGAGACAGGAACTGAGCAAACAAAGACTCAGAAACAGCAAGGCCCTGTTCTTTCAGCAAAGTCAGGACCAGTTTGCATGGCAGCTGAACACCACAGCAGACTTCTCCATTCTGACAGCTGTGCCTTGATCTCTCCCCACACCATGGGCACATGTCAGTGCAGCTATCCCAGTCTGGCACTGGTACAAACCAACAACCTCTGCCAACAAGTGCGATTGGTGCACAGGATGGGGACTGTAGCGCAAGAGTGGGCTGCATGTATGAGAAAGGATGAGCTTCTGCATTTATGGATAGGGGGTTGTGGTTTGGGGCACGGCCTCACCCGACCATCAAGATACCCTTCACAAAGCCCAACCCTTCCAGTTCCTGTCCCTAATCCTGTTTGTTGGGGATAATGAGCAGCACGCACAGCAAAGGAATTGGGTTTCTCAGCATTAAGGAAACGAGACAAATCCAGGATCTATCCTGTAGCAAAGAATTGCTCTGAGCCAACTTACTTGTATTTTCACGTTAATGAGAAGCATTTTTGTGTGGTGACTAATTGTGAAAACTGGTCCTTAGTGCAGCACCTACAGCAGCATGTAACTGCAAGTTGAACAGGCTCATTAAACTTTCAGCGGATGGCAAAAGGTAGACATGCAGATAATCTATCTACCTTCTCTGTATGTTCAACATTCTGAAAATATGTGTTCCAGTTTTACAGAAATCATTGTTGTGCATTTTTTTCCCCAGTGGACTGACAAAGTAGTAACACTGCAACTGTTAACTGGCAATTATCTCACATGGGATACATACTGTAAGACTGAGTCACGCATTATACACCGCATGAAGCCACATGGTTCTTATTGCAACAGCATCCAGTGAACAAAATGCCTGGCTGTTCACTTACTGTGCCTGTGTTGCACTACCCTCACCAGTGATGATTCCAAATATCCAAATGTGCAGTCTACGGCTTTGAATTTGCTCTTGATGAAAAATTCATTAAACTTGCTAACTCAATTATACATAAGATCACTCTAGCTTTACTTACCACCAGTTCGGAGAAACGGGCGTGCAGCTCCTCAGCAGGTGGCATGGGGGCGCTGAACTCCAGCAGCTGCAGCGGCACGCTGTCCTTCAGGTTGATCTCTGGGGGCTCGCTGCTGCCAAAGCAGCACAGGAAGCCCAGGCCCGGCCGCGTCCTCTTCCTGGGGGGCATGATGGCCGTGGTGACGCAGGTGGCAGTGGTGGCGCTGGACCGGGAAGGTAGAGGAAGGGGCCAAGGGGTGAGGGAAGGGGAGTGGAGAGGAGGACGAGGCTGCTATCTGGGGGGCATGATCTGGACGAGAGAGAGAGAGAGGAACGAAGGAAGAAGTTACATCGAGATACTGACAATCCAACATGTCCCAAGCGTGATTAAGAATGACTGAGTTGCATTTATTACATTTAGATGAGGAATCTTTATGCCATAATGGAAGACATGTCTGTGTAAGATAAATATTTTATGTTATGTTCAATCCAACACAGCACAACGTTTAACCGATTCTCAGCTCATGAAGGCCACATGCTGGTGAACACACCCAGTGTCTGGTTGGTATTTTCTTGGGGGAAAAAAAATCCATTATAGTGCACAGCAAAGCAATTTATGTTTCCAGCAGCTCAAATTAGTTTGGGATAAATACACACAGACATGTAAGCAGCAACAGTCACCACAGGCAAACAAACAATACAATGCCACCTACAAAATTGCAACATTACAGTACTAGAACTGCATATTTATTCACAATCCATCACAGTTGATTTCTTTCCGGATCTTTCTCTTGCCTTTACAAGAATGTCCTTAAGAACATGTGCCAGGGGGGGAGATATACTTGCTGTGTAGCAAGAAGGCACAGAGGCAGCAGGAGGTGCCATCATATCCTTGTCTTGACAGTGGTTGCTCTTATGCCCTGACAAAGAGACCTCTTGTCCGTGAGGTACAATGGTGACTGTGCAGAGTGTGTGTTTGTGCATGTTGTTTGTGCAGATTTGCACTAAGAGCTGCCCCATCAGTGCCCTTACTCCCTCAATGGAGCAGACACAGAAGAGAGTGTGTGTGTGTGTGTGTGTGTGCGCATGCGTGTGTGTATGTGTGTGGACAGACAGTAGTGAATGACACCCACTACAACATGAGCAAGGAACTGAATAGGCCTGGAGGATTTCCTCAATGCTACGAAAAGGATACGGGTGGTCCTCACTGTATGAATAATACACTCTTTACACTATATTATGTCCTATCAGACCCACACTTACACACTGTGAGCATGCACCCACGACGTCTCACACAGTTGCCAAAGCTCTTCTTTATGCAACAGTTTACGGCATTTGTGAATGAATGGACCTCAAGCCTGTTATGCAAATACCTTGGACATGCAAATCCAGCCGAAATATTTGACCAAGAAATCAATTATGGAGCCATTTATGTGAAATACAATAAAAATGTCCATGAAGTTTGCAACAAGAACACAGAACCAAAGCCAGATTTTAAAAAAAAGAAGAGAAAAAAAGTCTCCTAAATGCCTTTATTGATATTTGTACATAACCTACCAAGCATTGGCCAGAGCTTTGCATCCATCTGTTTCATATGGCAGTGAAACTTTAGAACTTCAGTTTCCACAAAAAGCCACAATCTACTACATCTTGACTGAGCACGACTCTCCGCCATCTCACACGTTCACTCAGTGTAGGAGTTCTCAGTGTGAGTCTAAAATTAGCCGGATGGTAAATTCTTTATGAATGCGCTGGGCCGTCGACAGGAGCTTAAAGGGGAAAAAATGAAAAGAGAAAACACCACATTTCCATTTTGCCCTTTCGTCTTTTACTCATTTGCTTTTTCCGCCTCCTTGAATCTGCCATCCCTCTCAAGGCAGAAGGAGCCGAGCTGTGCACAGCTACGCATGAACTGGAGGCTATTTTAAATAAAAACTACCCATAGTTTTCTTTGGTTTGCTGAACATTGAAATGCTTGTGCAATCATCAGTGGGCCTATTTTCTGAAGAGTACTATATCTTAAATTATTCAATATAATCACCTTAAAATACAGGGACTCTTACATAGTCGTTGCATCAGTGCGCTGAATGTCAATTATAGTATGTGTAGCATCTTGTATACACGTGTGGTACATTTGATATCTCACCGGCATTTGTGATATGATACCTGAGGTGACAATCCCTGAACACTCCGCCATCAGGGCAGGATTGACCTACAGCGGGGCTCAAAAAAAATGAGCTGTAAGCCCTGAGTCACCTCTGGCATCTCCCATTCCCTGAGTGTATTATCCTGTTTCCTTCACTATGCAAAACCCTTTAGCTACTACAGACACTTCAGACTGCAAATGATGTCTTCATTAAGCAAAATCTTTGGCAAGATTTTGCAATTGACTGGGCTGACTCAGACTACTGAAAGCCAGTAGGTCAGTATGGACATGAGAAACAACTACAGCTCTTTTTTAAAATTAAAGACAACCGTCACAACTGTCACTGTTAGATATGGATAAGCCTGCTGACCAAAACTGCACAGGTGTACCGTATGTACACAGATCTGTATTCACTGTGATGAGCAATAACATAAAGGAAACAGAAGAGCACTTTAACACTGTGAGGTGATAGAATAAAAAAAAAGCCCCTTTTAGGGAGGTAAATCCTGCAGACTTTTTCCGTACATTTACACTTGAAAAGGCTCTGCTTCACACGATTAACAGTGACAGCTTTCATCGTTTTTATTGCTATAAGACATTAGCATGAACTGGTGCCAAATCTTTATGGTGGTGAGTTAGTTATTGTTGCTGTGGACAGCTGGTTGAGCCTAATGGAAAAGAGGCCACTCTACAGGGGTTTTAAAGCCATTCAGCAAAATACGCAGGCTAAACCTCCTGTCCAGTGTCTCTGTGTGTTTCTATCTTCACTCTCCCACAGAGCCCCACGTGCGGCCAGTCCTCACTCAACACCAGTTCTGCTGGCCTGCGTCCATCCCGTGCCCAGAGAAAGTAGGCCAAGGAATCCAAATACACACACACAATTGCTATACACAGAGACATACAGTATAGAGTGTATATACTGGGAAATATAAGGACGCAAGAATAGAAACGGGACTATTTGTGTAACCTTTATCATTCACTGTATGGAGGAGGCACCACACAAACACAATCCAAATTGACCATGTCCAGTGCCATATGTGACCTGAGAGCCCCTCTTATCTCCCAGCCTTTCATTTCTTCATCCTCTCGCCCCCTCCCTGTCATCTCCCATTATTCCTCTCTTTCAGGGTGAATGGAGTGACATTTCCCTTCAACAACCCCCCTCTGACAGTAACATCTGTCATTTTTCCTTGCCACTTCTTCTCCCATCTTTAATCCCCTCTTTCTGCTCTTCTGTGCCTTCCTACTCAATACTTTCCCTGCTTGAGACGGCTGGATTTCATCTTTCTGGAAATGTGTTTTTGTAGTTACACTTTGCTTTCTTTCCAATAAAGAGATAAAATGATAAAGTTAAGAAATGGTGCTTGTAGCTTAGTATGGGATGGAGGCTGCATGTAGCAAGTTTGGCTTTGCCAGGCAGAGTGAAGAAGAAACACCTCCCATCAACTTTAAAGCTCATAACACACATCTTAAAAGAACTAGATACATTTGAGGGGATATAAATTAGGGCATGGTTACACAGTTGAAACATTTATTGCAATCAGATATTTTATTTCAGTCGCTATGAATAAATTTTAAGAATTTTTAATTGACCAACCTTTAACAAAAAAAAAGCGAATAAAAATAATTCTGCATATTTAATGCACGTTAGACTTATTTTATACTTGGAAAAAAAATTCTATTAAGTTAAAGTCCATCTCCAGTCAAAAATGACTTAATTCAAAACTCTTCTTCACATTGAGAAGTTTATTCTATTAAAATAAGTCCTTCCTGCTTTTAAAAGCCTTTGATGTAACTTTACACTGTTGCGTTCTCTAAAATGTGCAGATCCATCCTGCAGCTCAGCACACCAGCTCACCTATCCAACTCTGCTCTATCACTGTAAACTTAGTCTACGCTACGCATTAACAAGTTTTAATATTGGAGTAATTCAGCTGTACATTCTCCAACCAGAAACTGATTCTGAAGAAGAATAATGATACAGAAAGTTTCAACCTGCAAGCTGACAGGTTGGTTCCTGAGGTTTGTTATCTATGAAACCTCAGAAGTCTGAATCTGTGTTTTCTAGACTGTAGTTGCAATGTGGAAATACTCCACAGTGTGCATATTTTATTCATGTTGCGTCTTCCAGCATCTAAAGAACATCATCTAAAGAACACCATATGGACACGCTAACAGGGAGAAAAAAACCCCTTGATTTTCACTAGAAGGGTTCTTTAAACTACTGTTATGCAAAATTTGTTCACATTTCATTTTCTGTATGTGAGATTTGTTATGTTCTCATGTTTATCAAATTGCCACACATCTGACACTTGTCTAGGTCTAGGAAATCGAACACATACTCAAACACACACACTTCCCTACTTATTCCTGCTCATCACAGGAAAACAGATGGAAAAGGAAGCTATCCCTGAAAGAATGAACGCCTGTTAATCTCTATCACTGGTGTTAATTAAAACCATCTGTGTGTGTCAAAATGGCCGATGCAGGAATAGATGCATCGAGATTTGTCCCTGCTGACTCCTTCACATATAAGAATTTCTGTGCACACACACCCATGTCAGTACAAAGTGTTAAAACAGACACAGTTCTGCTTACAGTGCATGTCCCTGCGCACACTGCACTGTGTGCGCAGCCACAGCCAGTCACATGTTCACATGTTTCAAAATTCAGACACACCCACACAAGATTCAGCTGTAAGCACATCCACACATGCTGCATTTGCATACTCAGGCACCAAGAGCCCTGAAGCAGAGAGAGAGAAGCCTGCTGGCTGCTCTGTGTTTGAAGGGTCTGGAGAGCAGCTGAGCAGAAAGAGCGAGACAGAGAGATGAGAAAGAGATGAGGGAGGGAGACAGGGATAAAGGAAGATACTGCTGCCACTTCTCATTCAGCCCACTACCTCATCGCCTCATCCCCAGTGCCGGGAAGTAGGTCAGTGGAGGAGGAGGAGGCAGCAGTGAGGAGAGACAGGCTGCTGCTGCTGCTGCTGCTGGTTAGCGATTTTGTGTGTGTGTACACAGGCAAAAGGCAGAAGAAGAGGTGTGTATCTATGTAGAGATCAGTCCCTCAGACATCTGTGCCTGCATGATTTCAATTCTCTGCCTGACATCTGCCACACAACACAACGCTTTCAGTACCAAACAAAAAATCTGACAGAAATC